TGTAGGAAAGAACAAGAAGAAAATAATACTTCAAATAATAGTAAAATCGCTGCATTAAAAACTCTTATGCTGAAGAGATCTGAGGGCAAGATTAAAACACAGGTTCAAAATGGGTGATCTGCAATACTTTCAAAGTGTACCAACCATTTGCTTAGGCAACTTGCTTCAACTGGACCACCTGCATGAGCAATTACTACTAAAATTCAGAAAACACTATAGAAAAGTGCTCGAAGGAGATGAGAGGATCATCTTGTGCAACGAGATGTATACAAAAGCAATTAAATGGCAAAAAAACCTCCCAGGTATCACAGTTACCAGGCTGGCATATGCTGCACACATCCCAGTCGAGCACCCATTGCCTTGGTGTAAATCACACGAACGGCCCGAGATAGGCGATGAAAACGAATTAGTGATGCTTATGGGTTGTGATCTGCTATGAGCATGAACTATGCTGCAGACATGTGCTAAGTGCTTTAATGCTCAGTCAACACGAGGTTCTGGTATTTAGAACTGGCAATAGCGTTACAAGTTGAGAGCACATCATGTCAGCAGAGAATATCTGTCATTTGTACCTCGCACCTCCCATTTGCTAAACAACTACAAGCTCTAGATCATGTGGTCCATTAATAATCAAGACAGTCACGAGTAGCTTCGCAATTTGTACCTAAACCAGGCACATCTACTTCAGAATATAGCAAACTGTAGTGTCCTCCCTACTCCAATTGCTGGTTTAAACATTCAGATGGAATTAAAAAAAACAACCCACTCCAAACCAAAACAAATAATCTCACAACACTTCCGCCCCTCCCCAAACCAGTAACCAAACCAGTTCCACTGACATCTGTGGTGGAATGATATTGACTCAAAGTCTCTCATGGCCAAATTGTTAAAAATAGGAAATATTAAACAAAATCCTAAGAAGAATCACAGACCTTCTATCCGGAAAGTCTCTGTCCCTTTTCCTTCCTCCCCTGTCCCCAACTTCCGCTCATATAGTGATGTTTCCCAATACCAGGAAAAAATGTTTCTGCCTGAAACTACAGGAGGCTATACAGCTTTCAGAACTAGTTTTTCAGCTCACATTTCCAAGAAATGGAAGTTTAGGTGAAAAAAGTCCAGAAAGTTTCCAGTGTTGACAATTCTCTGCAGCGGGGAGCAGGTCGACTTCAGTTACGACCCACAGCTCAAGAGCTTTTCTGGCTTGGGGAATTAAAAGCATTTTTCTCAACTGCTGTGGAGATCACACAACCCTGTGTACATCATACCAGACTAGAGGAAGACTATGAATCATTCAAGAACCTCAATTTATTTTACAAGCATTCAGTCTCTCAGAGTGAACAAGGCAGGCCAAGATGGTCTCAGATGAGATTAACAGGAGAACTCCATGATGGAACAAACTGCTCTTTTATGACAGACTTCACATCATAATACCTTGGAAATGCTAGCACAGGAGAAAAAAAATAAGAAAACAAAGCAGGAATTCCACCTTCTTGTTGACAGGTGGTATGACTCAAAGGAATCTAGCTGGAATTTGGAACTCATCAAATTTGTTGCAGGAGACATTACTCTGATATCACGTACAAAGAGTTGGAAAGGAGCACGTCAAGCATGCTTTAGGAGTTTCTGGGTCTGCCATGACAGCTAAGAAATCCAACTGCATAGCTTCCAAATAAATAAATAAACCCTCTTAAATACATAAATTACTTCAAGAGCAAAAGTAGTTTGGATCAGGATGCAAAGAGTCCTAAGTTCTATCATTTATGTTCAAGTCCTACCAGTCATATGTTCAAGTCACCTAAACATCTGGGATAAATAGGAAAAGCGTGAGGCCACACAGGTTAAATCTTCAAGTATTCAGCTGGAAAAGCAGGTGATTTTAAAAAGGCTTAAGTAATTTGCTTGCTATAAATAGAAGCAAGTAATTTTAAAAGGTATAGATTACAAAAATATCTGAAGCTTTTAAAACATTGTTTTCACTGAGATTCACATTAAGCTTTCTTTTCACATTCCCTTCTATTTTGCTGCACTAAATGTACCCTGGGTTGGATAGCTCTGTGTTTCTGAGTCACCTTCTGCACTGTCTTCTACTGAAGCTGCTTGTTCAATCAATCCTGATAGTTTTAAGGAGAGTGCCCTGTAAAAAGTTAGTATTGACGTAAAGCATTTTCTTCTGCTGTCTGCTGATGACTTGTGGGTGCAAGGTTGACATGAAATAGTTTTTCTTGATTTTAATAGAACAGTGGCAGTTCTACCCTATGAGACCTCATTCTGAAAATAGATTTTTGATGGCAGTCTGATGCTTTTTTAGAACACTTTAACTTTGACACTTTAACACTTGCTTTAACTTTGACAAAAACGTCAAGATCTTTATGGTCAATGCCTTTTGCCCACAACGTCCTGCACACAGCTTCACTTGTAGAGTACTTTGTGAAGCCACGGTTTGCAAAAATGAGATTACTACTTGTAGGAAACTTGTTGGGTTGTTTCAAAAGCTTAGCATTCCAAGGTCTTAGATCTCACATAAAATAATGTGCAAAACCAAATAAAACCCAACCAAATACAATCCTCCCCGTTTCCTGTGGGTATAGGTGGTGAGGAGGGCAAGGTGGGAACACAGAACAAATGAACCTAGGAATTATTATCATCTAGTTAAGCACAAGCAGAAATTAGATTTTACAAAACGTCAAATGAAAATAAAGTAAAATAATCTCCCTGAAAAGTAAGACAGAACTTATTTCCAGCATCCATTATAGACAGAAAATTAAGTGCCTACGCAAAATTTTGTGCTCTCTGTTCAGTCTTCCTGGACAGGAACAAATTCCTAACTTTGGAGCTGTGGGAGAATCTATCTCCTTTTTGCCTAGACAGTGGTCTAAAACTCTTGCTACAGAAGTGGTTATAAAAGTTTGCTATACTTCGCATGAGCTTTTGTTTTCTTTTTCTGCAATGTTTGTTACATTTGGAGAGTATAAAGACCTTTTGGACCCTCAGACAGTACGGTCTACTGCTCAATGGATCAGGAACGGGACCAGCGTACCTGAACTATGTAGCTGGCAGCTCAGATAATTAACTTGCAACAGTGGTCTTAAAATTTCTCTTTAGAAAGCAAGCAAGGGTTTTGCGGCTAAAAATCATTCAATTTTCTATAAAGCCCTTAAACCTCTCTGTGTCTAGGTGCTTCCTCTGCTCACTGTGAGAGCAAATGACGCTAATCTCACATTTCTTACCCGTTTACTGCTACTCCACCCATTGACAGTTTTTCCTTTCACATCATGCACTATGCTTATTCACTGCTGGTGAAAGGCTGCATTTATAGATGGTTTGCATTCTGCTAATCTCTGTGGCATTCACACAATGTTACCTCCTACTGCACTACCCTGACTATACCTCTCATAAAGACAGCACTTTCACTGGAAAGGAACACAGTGCAAGACGGACAGAGGAGAGATACTTCAGCACCATTTCTAAACTATCAAGTATTCTACTCTCATTGTATGCTGTTACAACAATGCTTAAAGTTTCTGATCTGGAGCACAACCTCTCCCAACACTCTAGCATCACATATGACTTCACAATGAACAGCCAATTCTCTGAGAACCTTATTGACTCTGTCCTGATGGTTGTGAGGACAGTAATTAAAAATCAAAACCACATGAAAATTGCTGAGCAGATCCTCTAGAGAATTGTTGGTAAACAAGAGCTGGGGATACATGAACTGGAAAATTAGTTCTCACAGGACTGAGTTTTCTTGATGTTTTTTAAGCTCGTAACTCTTCTGTGCAATAACAGATGCACAAACAGGAAGCAATTCTTGCACTATCTGTGTACAAACAACTGGAATACATACACAGACTCAAAGGGATGTCTTCAATTTATTTAGTAACATAAGCAATTTTCCAAAACTGCATAAGCTGAAGTTTCCTTTGCAAATTGCTTAAAGTTATGCAGAAAAGCCAGGAAATAGGAAGAGTACTTGGCGTAATGCAGGAAGCATGGAAATTATGAAGCGGAATACCAATTTCAGACAAACAAACAAGCAGAGGGAAGCAATAAATGTCTGTACCAGTGAAGGGAGACACTTTTCAGATAACTCAAGTGCTGGTTAACTGTGACTGGGGATGTGTGGAAGAATTACACTTAATTTTTCAAGGCTTTTTACTGAAAAATTTCTTAGGCTCTACTATATGCACTGTTCCCTTCGTAATTATTACACTTACTTCTACCACTAATAACATGCATAAACTGACTGTTTGTCATGTTCATAAAGCACTTAAATAAGCCTCCTCTGAAGGAAGGAAATTGCACTGTTTGAAAATTCACTAACTTGGAGAGAGAGGGAAAAAGAAGCTATTCTTAGCATATATACATCACTCCTAGTCCTCTGACATATCAGCAGTGGTTCACCCAGAGGTGACATTAGAGTAAATGCATATGGCACCTGCCTGGAAAGGTGTCTGAATAAACACAGACATGCCCTGACAGCTACTTGAAACATAAATACTTTCCAAGCTGAAATCCCGGTAGTAGCCAATCTGTCAATAGCCAACATTACTGTATATCTAGAAAGGCATTCACCCACCACTAAAAAAGGGTCATATTTGGAATACTCTATGCTAGGCACTCTGAACAGATGATTCTATACAACAGGATCTTAGACAAGGAGTGAAGAAGTTTTACAGACTGCAATGAAAGTAGAGATGTAGAAATGTTAATTTTCACTTAAATGCAACAGTCTTAGTTGGAATATGGCCAGAATGCTGTGTGGCTGTAAGTAGACACGACACTGGTTTTACAACTCATGCAAAAGGCAAGCAACTGGTATTTCTGGAACTTTAACAAATAACATGAGAAAGCAATGCTGTCTTTCAGGTTTTTAAACATTATTTATTGCCTTCAGTATTTAATGCAAAAATTAGCTACCATGTGTCAATGGAAACAAAATAGATGAAGTGCAGAGTGAAGAGTAAATCTATACATAACAACTATTAATCATTCCTCACCTGATCTTCTTCTCCACCACCTTCTTCATCGTATTTCAGAATGTTGTCCCTCACATCATCTTCCGGATCAATCAAGAGCTGCTTTGCCTGACGCTCTTTATCACGGCGTTTCATCCATACCACGAACATCAAAACTAAAACTACGTTGCAAAAAGGGAAGACACAAAACCACATCTTTATTCTGAAGTACAGCCACAGAAAATTGCACAAATTTAAGACAAAGCTTTAAAAAACAACAACAAAAAAACCCACAAAAAAACCAAAAAAAGCCAAGGAAGTTGGCTTTGATTGCTCTGGATGGGTTTGGTTTTTTAAATAAAAAATTTCATAGAAGGCAGCTTAAGCAAGAGATGTTTAAACTCAGGCTACTATAGGCAATTTGATTTGGAAATCAATCACGCATTCAAGGTCCTGTGTAGCAATCCACTCCACATCTGCAAAATAAACTTGTCATAAAAAGAAGTGAGAAAGACCAAGCTTCATAAAGCACTGGATTCAGAAGGGAATCCTCTCTAGTAGTGGCAAGAATTCTAAAAGAATTACACTATTTGTATTTTTTTCTGATATGTTCCAAGAATATATAGCCATTTATACAGTGTAAGTAATTCTGATGTTTAAACATCATCAAGCATAAGCCATTTTGGTATAAGCAGTCCACAAGAACAGACCATATTGTTGTCTAAGTTTAGATTTATGTTTAGAAGCAAGAGGAATCGAGGTTGAGGAAAATGCAGTGGCATTTAGAGCTATAGATTTTTGATTTTAAATCTCAACAATTTCAAGTTACACTGTTTGTTTACAAACTAAAACTGTTAAAGAAAACCAAATGAAGAACAAAAGAAAATAACTGTGAGTAAATGAATTTGTAATACAATAGAGATGTTTCTAATTACAGTCATCTTAACGGAGAGAAATTCCAATATATCTAGAATGTCAATATATGAAGAACATCTTTTCAGTAAGGCTCTCTTAATACAATACCTAACATTTTAAGAGTATCTTGTATCAGGAAAATAATTGTACTATGCTTGTGCACAGCCATGGGCTTAGCCAGGCTCAAACACTTTTTAAAATTCAATTTATTTATTTATTTTAAATTACTCCTTTCTATTATTTTGTATGTTCTGGACTGGTGCACAGTATACTGTGAACAGGTTAATCCTTTCCTTGTATTCCACCACAATCAGAAATCAGTTAACCATAATGTGTAGGAGAGCTAGCATCTAATTTACTACAGTGGACAGACACTTAGTCATGATGTTTACTCATTCTCTTATTGAATGCACTTGACACAAAAATAAAATACTAGCACAGCTTTATGTAGTGCTTAAACACACATAAACATCCCTGTTCCTGCATGGCTGCCTGCTTGTCAGGCCTTATATGAAAGGCTGTGATGTATTACTTTCCAAAAAATCATTGAATAGCCTACTTACGTTAATCTGAAGCAAAACAGTAGTAACACCACAACACTCCTTAAAGGCACTGTTACCCGCTGTGGGTGGCGTCAAATCACACAGTACCAGCCGCACAAGAGAGACCAGATGTCTGGGGGCTAATCGCATCTTCAGTCTGGTCACTCACTGATGTAACATAACAAGCGCCCAGGGGCATCGACGGAAAACATCTTTCATAAACCCACTGTGGGGCTTGACTGCTATGCAAGTGCTAGTTACGACCTGTCTCACAGACTCCTCGTTCTTTACCGTCCGAAAGTTTTCATACTTGCCTGAGACACTAAACTAAGCAACAACAATTCTTGGACTTGAGTCTTTAATCACTCCCTCGTCTTTGTCAAGGTACATGGGACTACAACATAAGACGGTACTTGCAAAACAAGCATAAAAGAATTAGGATGAAGAGAGCCATCTACTCACTAAGCAAGATGATGATACAAAGCAGAATTGCAATGATGGCACCAGTGCCCAGCCCTGCGCCAACGATCCGGTCAACATCAGTGCAGTCTCCGTTTATGTCACATTGGCAGACTTTCACTTTCAGCACAGAAGTGCTAGATGCATGTGGATTTCCAGAATCCGTAATTACTATAGGCACATCGTAGATACCAGCCTCCAGGAACCTGATCCTTAAAGAAAGCTGGGCGTGATCACCTGTGTGTGAAAATACGGCACTTGTTAAAGAGTAACATACTGCTCGTGTGGGTTTAAAACAGTATTAGCAAAAATGGCTCATCTTTCAGCTCCGCATTAACTTATTGTTCAGCCCACTACATGACACTCAGGATAATAGACTTCTTACTGTGAACATCTTTTCTTTCTTAAAATTTCTTGGTTTTTTTTTGAATTTACACTAAGGTTGCTTTCCTACTCATATTAACCAAATTCATGTATGTTGCAAAATAACACCAAAGTAAAATACAGAAAAGCGCGTGCAATAGTTTCCTTGAAATTATTAAGATTTCAATAATGTTAATTACCACTAATTCGAACAATAGTCCAATTCCTCTTAATACTAGCAGGTGCGTCAGGCAGTTCAAAGGCAAACGGGCCTGCATTTGGATCTATGTCAGGGTCTACAGCAGTGATGTTAATAGCGTTAGGCTGCAGTGTTTCACAAGTCGTGGCTTCTTTTGGATTCACTTGAGGGGCGTTATCATTGATGTCCAGCAGGTGTATCTGAAGCGTGCCAGTTCCGCTCATTGGGGGGATTCCTTAAATAAAAGAAAATGGTATTGAGTCTGTTACCAACTGGAAAGTTACTTAAATGAAGCTATACCAACACTTTTCAATTACCACGTACATCTGTTCACTTCATTTTGGGGATTCTGTCTTTACCAAGTCAATCTAACACTGTCACTTGCTCCTGCTAACACACAAATTCTTATGTAGCCTGTCCTCAGAAAAAACTGTCCTACTGTGCAAAAATCAGCAAGTAACTGCAGATCCACAGATCAGGGACTCAACTACTTTACTGAACAGACAGCCAGTTGCTCTCCAGAGACAGTCCATGTCAAATGCTTCAGGGAAAAAGGTGCAAAATTGTGATAGTCTCTCCTCTGGAGAAATTTATTTCATAACTTTGAAGACTTAGAATCACCCTTTACCACAAGTGTGCTATTTAAATTCTTTCTAATACTGACTTTCAGCATGACACTTCTAGATTCTTGCTATCCATATCAAATGTGTGATGCTTCCATAAATCTTGCTAAAGTCACACATTTATGTGAACATGTGGCACTGAATTTCTCAGTATAATTAGCAACGGTTCCTATTCCATGCCCCACTCCCCCAATCTCCCAGTTCCGTTTATTATTTTTTCCTCCAGAACAGAGCCGAAAGGCCAGAAATAGTTGATCTAGCTTTGTTATACTGTATCAGTTAGCAAAATTTTAACATTTGTCTTCTCTCCAAGATAAATAGCCCCAGTGTTTCAGTTTTCTCCTCTAATCCGAGAAGGTTCCTAACTGCACCTGCAGTTAGGAAACATATCTGGTACAAACAGTACAGCACTCCAGTCAAACTCAAAGGGCTTGTTTCTGAGCAGAGACTGTTAATTGTCATTAAGAAACTGACAACAAAAAGACTTCTCCCTCTGCACTGCTGTAGCCTGAACGTAGGAAAAATACAATACTCTTCCCTCAACACATTACTTCCCATAAAGTCCACTCATGCTGTGCATTCACTCAGCACACTGCACTCTTGTGCAGGTTTTGTCAGTTTTCTGTAGTAACTAAGCCAGTGCCTTTCTCCAAACTCTGAATTATTTTTCAGCCCATTTCCTGAATACTCGGGAAATACTAAGTCTGATACTAACGCAGACTTCCAACTGGATGTATTCTAAGCATATCTTGTTTTCTGCTCCGGTAAAATTGAATGCCGTTCAACCACAGAGAAGAAAGCTTCTTGAAAACATATACAATGTTGATACATACCATTATCAGAAGCAAGAAATGTTGCATTATACATATTGTTTTGCACATATATTGACTCTCTGTCCAAAACAGCTGTAGTAGTTATTTGTCCATTAACAGGGTCAATTTTCAGCCAGTTTGCAGGATCTGAAAGTTTTGAGTACCTGTGTATTTGATCACAAAATGTGTTATTTATCTGCCAACATAAATATTGACTATAAAGACAGTATTAATATTTTAATTTGTATTCTGAACACATTTTTAGAATGTGGAGACATTATTTCATAAATTTCAATTTATTAAGCCTTGTTGCCAAAATTCTTGAAAACATGTATTAAAAACAGTTCTACATTTAGATTCTTGAAGTGCTCTACCATGTAAGTTATCATGTAACTGGAGTAAATCATACAATTATCATAAATGATATAACATTCATATTCAGACTCAATTAAAATGTTTCATTAAGGATCCCTCTTACTTGTTCTATACCTACAGAGATACTCAAACTAACTTTTATCTTATCAGAGTGCTGAGAGCAGGAGAGAGGTAACAATGGATAAAGGATGTTAGAGTAGCACTAGCTTGGATTATTGCAGTGCTTCCAACATCACTTAAAGTTAATTTTTAGAGGCCCTGGTTTTGCTGCATGCTTCTCATCTTAATTTGAAAGAGGAGTGTCTTTCAAACTCATCCTTCTACCTGATAAATTTGCCCTCTGACATTAATCAAGTGCAAGCTATCCTAGGTCATTAAAAATGCATATATCCTTAAGTCCTCATGCTATCACGTCTGTGATGGTTATGTCCAGAAACAAGCAAAATATCAGCAACAGCTAACCAAAATTAAGAGAAAATAAAATTGTAAGAACCTTGATTTTGGAAGAAAAGACAGAAATTAAGCTCTGGAGTCTCCTCCACACAAGCTAAAAAAGGTAGGACAAGATAGGAACCTGAGTCCTAGCCCAAGGCTAGTCACTGTGCCTTAGCTTTGCAGTCAATGACCATGTTTTAAATGAGGTATGCAAAAGCATACTTTAATATTTCCATGGTTTATCCTCTTTGCTTTTCTCATTTAGCAAAGTTTTACACATTAGACAAATTACAATCAAATTATGATCACAGCTATCAGTACAAGAGTTCACAGATGGACAACAGCACTTTGCATTGCTGGAGAATAAACGAGAAGAGAACCCTAAAGATTTGGTCAACAATTTGACATGGTTTTGCTTCTGTGTCTAAATTATGGGTTAATTTAAATTGCAAATGATCTTAGTTCACACAAGCATGTGTCTGCTCTGACGGAATTTGTTGGGATGCCACGTATTCTTCAACACAAGTGCGTAACTTCTTTCTACTTTGACCAAGTGGGACTTAGCATTAGAAGATGACCCCGTTTACAGATCCATGAATGCTGGTCAGTTCAGCTTCTCTACAGCCAAAAAATCCTTTAGAGAGATCTGCACAAAAGCTACAGGAGGTATTGGCATAGCTGTGTGCTACAGTAAATGCAGTCATTTCATATGCAATCTCTTTGCTCTCCACCCACTCCATAACAAGGATATTGCATTCTAATTGTTAAATAACTGCAAAATGTTTATATACATACCTTAGAGAGGTTTGCTGCATGTAACGATCTGGGTCCTGAGCAGTGAAAGTTGTCAACATGCTACCAGCAAGTAGCCCTTCTTCTTGACGTACAAGCTTAGGGTTTGGAACAAAATATGGGCTCTCATTCACATCAATGACTGTAATGGACACGGTTGCTGTTGACTGAGGAGGATGCTGAATCCCCTTAGCCAAAGGCACTTGATTTTCTGCAGCTACAGTAAGTACGAACATCCTGTTGGTCTCGAAGTCAATAGGCTAGGAAAAGTAAAGAGCAGGAAGTGTTAACATTTACTGACAATAGTGATGGACATCAATAACATTTTTACTTTAAAGCACATTTTTAAACACTACTTGTACTGCTTTTCTCAAAAATGAGCACGGAGCCTAAAGAAAACACAATCAATGTAACACCTCAACATGAGACTGAGTTGGGGTTTTGCTTAGCAACAGTTTTGAAATCAGAACAGCTAGAAACCTTGTCACTCTTGGATTAACTTACTCCAGTACTGCCATTAGAGGTAATTGAGGAAACAAGTAGTTTCATCAGAAAATTAAGCAGAAACTCCCATCTTTGTGCCAGGCATTCACGTGAGCAGATGTGCCTCCTCAGGAGCTCTCCTGGGAAGAGAAACCTGCCTCTCTCTGTTACAAGGATGAAGTTTTCCTTCAAACAAGATCATGACCACACTTAGCCCTGTAGATCAGAGATTCCCATGCCCTTAATGTTTTAATAGAAAGACCCTTTGTAACTGAAAAGTCCTTGAGGCCTCAGAGCCAACTATAAAAATCAGTGTGTTATCAACATTCTTCTCATAACAGATCCCAGACTAACACTAAAACACGGAGCTCTTCTAGCTGTTAAAAAAGAAGAGCTAACTCTGTCCCAGCTGAAACCACGACACCCAGCTAATCCCATGTCTGGTGTATCTACAGCTCTCATCTTCACAGTCCAGACAACCTTTGGTTTGGGGACTTCCTCACACTAAGTCAGAAGTTCGATTAAAACAGTTTGAGGCTAGAGTTCCTCTGTCGTGCTGCATAGGGGTCAGGCATTCCCTAAGACCTGATTTGCCTTAGCACTGGACACTGTACTACTTGCACTGATTCTAGAATTGAAGGAACCCTGAACTTTACAGGGGCAGCTGGCACATGACAGTACGAAGTCAGTGACAATAGACAATACAATCTTCATTATAGGTTGACAGATCAACTCACTGCACTGCCAATAAAAACTGTAGGCAGGGTTCCAACTCTTACTATGTCTGGGTGCTTAAAGGAGTGCTGCTGGTCAGACTACTGAAGTGCCATTTATCACCTCAGGCTGAATCTCCTATGCTGTTTAAGAGCCTCTGTTCAAATGGTATGGCTGATCCCCTTCCGAACAAGCCCATCGTTCTCTTGCATTTGTAGGAAAAAGTTCCTTTTCAATAAGGCTCCCATATGCAGCTACTCTGTCGTTAAATCACGTCAGATGTAGCAAAGCACTGAGATGCTCCAGCAGTAGAGGGGACAGAATTTGTTAAAAATAAGTTTGTAAGTGAGCAAAGCTATATCAAAGAGGTTAGAGATCTGGAATCTTAGGCTTGCTTCTCTAGTACTTTAGTTTAATCTGTGCATTTTTTTAAATTCACTTTTTCAGACGTTTCTAGTTTGATACCATCCTTAGATCTAAAAAAAGATGCTTATATGCCTAATTACAAAGTACAGACACTCACATAACTCTTGCTGGAAGACTGCAATATAACAATTGGTACCTCTGGGAAAGAGCAGTTATAAAACAGAGACAGTTCTTAAAAAAAAAAAAAAACTAGTGTGAATTACCACTATAGCTGTACAAAAATTATGTCTTTTTCTCATGTAGATACTGAGAGGAATAAAAAAAAAAAAAAAAAGAAAAAAAGAATGGGGAAAAAAAGAGTGAATGTTTTAATTTCCAAATGGAAACACTGGCATCTCACACCTGACTTTTTAAGTGCATCAGTCAAAACCAGAACGGGCCAACTCAGAGACGAGACACTTATCAGAGGGCCATGAGGAAAGGTGGCCACTGCCTGGAAGGTTTAATTATAGAACCACACTCTTATTATCACTTGAAATAATTCACCCTTCAACACAGAGCTGTGTTGGCTAGAGAATGGAGATAGACAGGTTATTCCATAAAAGGTATTTAAATGAGATTTTAAAAATAGCCAGTCTTTAAAAGCATCTTATAGAAGTAGCCTCCCACCTAGCACTTTTTCCTCTCTGATTGTGCCTTGCCTGCCTATATCTGTTCCCTAATGGGAACATGTTGACATAAAACTTGCAGACAACAAGCTTGACTACTAATGGAGGCCAGGTGGTAGGACGCTGTTCCTTTACACTAGCAACAAATACTAAGCAAATGCTTTTTCACAGACTAATTCCTAACTTTTGGCAAATAAAGCTTCAAAATCTGCCATTTTCAACAACCTAGCCTGCTTTTTAAAACCGATCAGCTGGAATACTACTAATAGCGTAAGCAAGGAAACGCTCCAAGAGACGGATGGCTCACTTCCACAAGACAGACAGTGCCCATCCATTTTACTTTCCGGACTCATGCTGGCCTCAGGAGTTCACATTTTTCCCCCTCAATCTTCTCCCACTTATTCCATCTCTGCCTAATTCTCTGAAGTGCAAGCATCTCTTACCTTCACAACAGTCACCAGCCCATCGTTGCTATTGGGATCGGTCAGGATGGTAAATCGACCTGTCGGGTCTCCTCCAGTCATTCGGTACATCGCGTTCCACGCAGGTGTGTGCGGCTGATCTTTATCTGTTACTGTCAGATTCGCTACGATCACATCTACCCTGTTTTCTGGTACTTCCCCGTAGAACTGCAAAAAACAAGAAAAGATTTTACTTCGGTGCAGAAGCACACAAGAGCCACGCCATACTGAACATTCATCAATGTTAGGGACTGCATCTCTCTTCACTGAAGCTCTGACGATTTTTCTAATGAAATTTACCTCAGGCCACCCAGAAAACTGATGGTTTGATTCCCTTGTCAGCTTTTGCCTTTTGGCCTAAGCAGAATACCGTATCTAAGTGATATATACTCTGCATGTATTTTGGTCCTGCCTGCCAGTACACTATTTAATAAATAATAAATATTTACCGTCTGTGAATATAATGAGAAAAGCGGGGAATGGCTAGAATTATACATATTCTTCAATTACTCCAACCCTGTACTTACGGTCATGGCAGTGAACTCTGGAGGATTGTCATTGACATCTGTCACAGTGATGACAGCAGTTGCTGTGTTTGAAAGACCGTATGTTGGGTTTCCTTCCATGTCCGTAGCTTGAATTATTAATGTATATTGTTGTACTTTCTAAAACACAAAACGACATCAACATAAGTTTTAGACAAAACTAACATTACTGTAGGACAGCAGGTGTTTCCAAAATTGCACTTCGCTAAGCAATGGAGCCTATCATACTGTTTATTCCAGTTAGCATCACTTGAAATGACAGGAGCAAAGTTTGTGCCACAGGAACACGGCACCAGGTTGCATCCAGCTGTATGAAACTACTGCTTGATTTTCTTCAAATATCACTGAGACGAGCAGACTGCCTGCTTCCTACTCTCAAAGTCAAAACCACTTTATACAGTTAATGTTATTATCACAGATTTAACAACGCCTTTCAAACGGGGAAAACACAAGAGTGCAGTTTATACTAAAACAGGCTAAGTGCTCAAAAGCATTTAAGAGAACGGAGCCAAGGCAGGTTTGTTGGCCAAACGGCCACAACTGCCAAGGTTTTGTTTCAGCCAAGCCCAAGTATAAAACCGCTGTTGCAATGTCTTGCGATCGCTATGGAAACCGAGGATGTCGAGGCTAAGGGAGAGATGGGTAAGGGCACTGGGAGCAAGAGGGAGAGAACAACAACATGGACTATTTCCATAACTGTTAAACGCCCTGGTGGAGGATGGCCGCTGCCTCCTCCCCGCAGCCCCCCAGCCCCCCTTCCTGCCGCGTGCCATCAGGAATGGGAGCCAAGCGCTCTGCTCTCCCCCCACAGCTGGAGTGGGGCCAGCGCTCCCTCCAGCACCAGAAATGCCCCACAGAGACCTGACCTCAGACTGGTTACTTGTCTGAAACAAAGTTGATAGAGTTGTTTAAAAAAAAATAAAAAAATTAGAAAGATGTTTTTTGTGTAGAGTTGCTGAGAAGTTGATTGTAACTCGTCAACTGTTTCTGCCGTGAAATGCAAATATTGTGTATGCTTTTTCGTTTGCCAGTTCAGTTTCCTGTTCTGAGAGAGCTAAGTGTCATCATTCAGTTCTTTCCAAAGGAAAATGCACAAACGTAAGAACTTGCTATTACTTTGAAATATCACTTTCATGAATGGTTTACTAACACTGGCAAAAAAACCTTCTGGCAAAATAAAAATACTTAAAAGAAAAGCACAGTTTACCACTCAGTACCTTATTTTCTCCCACTACTTAAAGACTGGGTTATATGACAGATTACTTCTCATGGAAACTGTTTACAAAAGGGGACTATGGATATTGATAAAAAAAAAAATAAGCAAGGACAATTCCATTGTCTAACTTGTTTTCAAATTTTGGCCAGACACTACGACAGACATTAGAGATTCAATGGTTATGCATACTCAAGCAGCAAATTTAAGCCACTGAATAACAAAAGTTTTTAAGATAAGATGGAGGAATCTTTATCACCCACCAAAGATAATTTATGTTTATAAAAGGTTCCTTTCACAAAGGAACCTTTACAAAACACCCCAAATGTGTATTACTGCATATGCATCCTTTTAAAAAAGTAAGACATATTAGTTATACAGAAATGCAACATATATGTTTAATAATGTATAAATAGGTATATGAATTCTAGCTTGGAAAACATACTTGGCAATGTGACCTTCAAAAGGCTTAAATAAACATCCTAAATGTTTCCTTCATGACACCAACAAGAGAAGCAGTCACAAGAGAATCAGAGAAATACTTTTACCACTTTCCTTCAGGAAAAAAAATATACTTTACTTATTGTGAAGCAATAACACCTAGAGCAGTATTGAAGCAGATCTTGCAGCCAGATGATCCTACGCTATCGAAACAGTAGGTGCTTCAGATTCATCTGGGTCTTAACATATTGATCCCAAGAAGCAAATTTCACTAAGGAAACTGATATTATTACACAGAGACTCAATTTCCGTACAGTCTTCTTATTTAATTCCAACAGAAGCAGCACACTAGAAACTGCCCCAAAAGTGCCCCAGAAGACAGCACATATGTGTTTTTGATTGTTTTCTCCTCTTCCAGCATGCTGGGTTTACGGGAGGGGCTGTGGAAATGGCCCCCGTAAGCAGCTGTGAAAAATTCTGCGGCTCCAAAACTGGTCGGACCAGCGCCTGTCCCAGTCGGGCCTCCCGTGCCCTCAGCCAGGGCAAGGCTCATCGGTGCCTTCTGAATGCCTCATTTAAGACAGGGACAAAGGAGTCTGACCCGGGGCTGGACCAACACTGAGGAGAGGGGCTGCCCCCGCTGGGGCACGAGCAGTGCCCACGCTGGGCTGCTGCTGCCCGGCTGGAGATGGCTGCAGCAGCACAGTTTGGAGAGCTCCGAAGCGTCCCGCTCCCGGGGTGCCCGCTGGGCAGAGTGCATCCTGCCGGGACTGCCGAGCTTTGCTGGGCCCAACAGCGGAGAAGGGACTGAGACCCCAGAGAAACGGCTGTGCAGGCAGCAAGATCAGCGAGGATGGAGCAGGAGTAGGTGTGCCGGAGCCGAGATTCCCCTGCAGCCTGTGGAGAGAAGGCAGCTGGCCCTCCTATTGTGGGGGGGGTTCACCTCCTCATGGAGATTAACAGTGGAGCAGAGACCTACCCGCAGCCCATGGAGAACCCCATGCTGGAGCAGAGATGCCTCTGCCTAAGGGAGCTCATAGAGAAGCCCACGCCAGAGCGGGTGGCAGCTCCCTAAGAAGCCGTGACTTTGTGGGGAAGGAGCCCATGCTGGAGCAACCTGATGAGTAAGGATTGCATCCTGCGGGAAGGACTCACGTTAGAGAAGTCTATGGACTATCCCGTGAGGAGGCGATCCATTAGAGCAGGAGAAAAGAGTGTTAGGAGTCCTCCTTTAAGAAAGGAGCGGCAGAAAAAAAATGCACGACAAACTGACCTGCAGCTCCCCATTCCCCATCCCCCTGTGCTGCTGGGGCAGGAGGCACAGCTGGGGAGAAGGGAGGAGTAGGGGGACGATGTTTTTAAGGTCTGGCTTTGTTTCTTGTTATCCTCTCTGAATAACCAATTGCATTGTTTTGTCCCCAAACAGAGTCTGTTTTGCCCAGGGCCACAGTCAGTGGGTGATCCCTCTCTGTCCTTGTCTCGACCCTCAGTCCTGTTGCTAGGTTTTCCTCCTCTCCACCTCACCGAGGGCAGGAGCGAGTGGCCACATGGTGGCTGAGCTGCTGCTCAGGCTGAACCACGACATCCAGCACTCACATACAGAAGATCAACTGCTGGGAATGAAATTTCAGAAATCAACAAGCGCACAACTTTCCAAGCATGGGGAAAGTGAGGGAGGTGGCTCTTCTCTTTTAACCGTGGGTTGAGATGGAGCCAGGAATAAGCCGTGCAGCATGTGTCAGCAGCCTGCACGGAGACTTTGCAGCAACACATCCAAAAACGAACTGGCAGCTTCAAGAAACAATGCAGACCTCATCAAGTCACATCTTTCCACTTCAACAGAGGCCAAATAAAAGAGCACTTCACTGAATTAACCTCACGTGAGGCAGGAATGTCAGTGTGTAAATTTAAGTACCCTGCCTGACTTCTTCAGCGTCTCCAGCGGTAAGGCAGATGTTCTACTGCTGAAGTGAATTCCACAGGAATGGCAGAAGAAATATGAACAGCTGGATTTCACGAAAGAGCATCTTTTGTGATAGCAAGTGAAAGATCTCTTCTGCCTTCAGCCGCGCTCCCTACCTAAGCAACTCCCCTCCTGTGCATGTTAGCATAGATAATGCATTGTGCGTGTTAATCTAAAATACTATCAGATGAGGAATGCTATCAGAGGAACCACACTTATGCTCCCATAAATAATTTAAGGATTTAAAATTTTATCTAGTATTTTATGAGCCTAATTAGAGCTTTACAAAGAGAGTCAAGACTTAGAGAAAAGCGCAGAACGGCAGAAGCAGGTAGCCCAGCTGAAGTTCCTGGACAACAAGGCACTCCCCAGCCTATTGTCAGAAGACCTGCTTGATTCAGATCTGGCTTCCTAGACTCCTGGTCATTTTAATTTAATTGACTTCCACAAAATCACTCAGGAAATGAAGGAAGCAAAGCAATGGCTTGGGAAGGAAACCATTTTGTCTCATATTAGTCTAATTTAATATTTGAATTATTTAAAATTAATGATTAATATTTCAAATGTGCAAGAAATGTTTATAAATACTCATTTGAGTATCAGTACAGTGATCCATCAGGAAAACTGATGGCAAATGACAAGGCTTTTCCAACTGTTAATGTGAGGTCTAAGCTCCATAGACAGCTGGTTTCTTCCAAGTTAAATTACTCCGCTACAGCTAGTCACTATGTAATAAAACTCAGAGTTATCACTACATCCTTCTGAAAGTTCACCTGTCAAAGGTGACCAGAGAATTTTAAAAACAAGGGCAGAGTTTCCTACCATTCTTTTCATTTAACAGAGCAATACAATGTCAAGTTCAGGGTTTTCCCTTCCTCAAATCCATCCTCTTCAAAACCAACTTAAACAGAATAAATGTTAATAAAACTTTAAAAATTAATTGCAACATCTAAGAGTCTGCTTAGCTTTTCAAATCTTCTGATTGCCTCTTTCAAACTGAAATGCATCAGAATATTAATAGCCAACCCAGAGCAACAGAAAGTATTCTTGTTCTCCATTTTAAGTAAGTATAAGCAAACAGCTAAAAGTTGAACAGCAAATCCAGTTTAAAAAAACCCTTCAGATTTAATGAGCTAAAATGAGGTTAGTAAAACAGAAGTTGAAACAAGATGTGTTGAAATAAGATTTGTTTGGATTTTACAGTTTGTTTATAAAATAATGCTTATCTCTTTTGAAGTTTTCAAGTGGTTCAAAAGCACAGTTAGTCCATGTGACAGATGTGGAGTTGGGAGGGAAATATTTTTATTCTCACCTCACAGATGGGTGAACCAGAGCAGAGGATCTGGCACCCATCTTCTCTGGTGATGGGCACAGCTAAGAACTGCCTAAACAGAACAGAACTTGCCCAGCAGGGAACTACTGACAGTCAGATTTTTTTATTACTTTTTTTTTTTTTTTAAAAGTATGTTGAATCCATGTCCAGGCCTTGAGACAAGTGTCTATCTATACAGTTTCCAGTAACGACTGGTTTATTCTTAGAAACATGCTTTTCAAATTTTAAAATCGGTAGTATTTTCCCTTGTTTATTTTAATAAGCAAATCACTGCAAATTGAGCAACATAGCATCCAGAAGACTTCGAGTACTTACCACCTCTCTGTGAAGAGCAAGTAAGAGGACAGAAGGAGGACAGAAGCTCTCCTTGAGCTTCCAAAATAAATGAAATGTATAGGCAGTTCCATTTTCCATCTACTCTTTGCCTATGGAGCTCAGGAAGAGGAAAGGGCTAGAGCTGATCAACACCTCCTGTTTCAGCACCCAGGTGGAGCACCTGAGGTCCTTATCTGCATCACTCTGCTTTAGTGTGTACCTGTTCCTTAAAAGCAAATAGGCTTTTGAGACAAGATCCTTTCCACAACTCCATGGAAATGAGAGTGACTACATGTACAGAATGTGTGGGTCCAAATTTCATCCCCATCCTAATTTCCTTTTTTCCAGGGAGAAATTTCAGACCAGGGAGGGAGAGAAGTATTTTTAAGTTACTAGCAAAATACGTGCTTCATCACAATATTAAGTACAACTCAGTCTATGGGATTAAGACTTGCCGTACCTCTCTGTCAAGGCCAGCTGCTACAGTGATAATGTCACCAGTCTCGTTATTGATTGTAAACATGTTTGGAGAAGGGCTGCTCGGGGCCTGTGACAAGATTCTATATCTCAGCATCCCATTCTGTGCATTGGGATCATCAGCATCGATAGCAGTAACAGTCATCACGTAGGTTCCTAGCAGAAGGATAAATAATTGATGTTATATAAACAGTTTACTCAGATTACACCAGATCACTTACAAGCAATGGTCAAAGCATGTATTTCTTTTGGTAAACTCTGCACATTCCTTCTCTTACTTAAAACAAACTGGTTAAACGCAAGACTCACCAACAGAGTAATTAAAATACATAAGAGGAGGTAAAAATACTTTGTGTTTATAAAATATCAGATTTGCTTTTAACTGAAGAAGCTCTATAAACAATGAAATCCTACGATTCTGCCACAAATAACATTTCTGTAACAACAGAGCTCCTCACGTTTAGGTAAAAATATTATTAATTGGGCCAAAGGAAATATACTTAATTTTCGGAATTGGTGCACATACCGATAGAGATTGAAAACCAATGTAAATAATACTCTTTTCAAAGGTCTTTGAGATGCATGTTCTTTCCAGCTCAAATGCTAAGTCCGTGTTGCAAAGTGAGAAAATACATTTGTTGTGCTAACCTTTCTAAAAAATTTATTTTGCACTACTGACGAATCAAGAAAGTGGTTCCAGCCATAGTGCATACTTTAGTCTGCGCAGATTAGAATTTTAATGAGATGTGAACAACATTTAGGGTTTTCTTGAGAATTCAAATGAAACTGTTTGATTTCAAATCCCGGTATTTCCAAAGCCTCCGAGATTCAGAATTAGAACTGGATGTGCTGGTATTTTGGTATCTTATACCCAGAGCTGCCAACTAAATGAACATCAATGGCTATCATAAACATAACTTTAAGAACTGTGACATTATAAATAGGACTTTGAAAAACAGAAACCTAAAGTCACATTCTTAAAGACTTCTCGGTTTCAGTTTACGTACATACTGCTTCCTTCTTTTGGAAATTAATCCTAGCATGCTAAAAAGTGAATTAAAAGTAAAGTGAAATGATATGACAGTTTTCTGAGATTGCGCTCATCACACTAGAAAGACACTCTTGAAAGCGTTAGGTGTGAAGGCGCTCCTTTCATCACCTTCAAAACGTTACTGCATACCTCCTCCCCTCGCCCCACTTCGAAAGCTCATGTACTACCTGGCTTCGATCCTTCAGGAACTGTCCCATTCCAAACTTGGTGTAAGAATTCAGGCCTATTGTCATTCATATCAATGACATTAATAACAATGTCAATAGGATTTTCCACCTGGTTTCCATTTACATCCACTGCGTGTGCTCTCAGCTGCAAAAATGATTAAAAGTATTAGAATTTGCACAACATACAGGCACAAATAGATAACAGTAATGGTGACAGGAAGTTTCAGGCCAGACGTTTTTAGCTCATTGTATTTTGTCATCTATCACTGCGCCCTCACATTGACAATCTGAGTTTTCAGGTTGCTAATGGAACTGCTGTTCAGAGATCTAAACTATTCTGAGTTGCAGACTTACCACTCTGATTTGCTGAAAATTATTCTGAATCATGTAGTTTCGATTGCCTACTGTCATATACAAATCTGGTTTTAATAATGACTGTTAGGAAACAGACTCTAGAAATATGCAGATTTATATTAAGCAGATAGCAACTTATTAACAATCCATAAGGAATGAACACTGGCATCACTTTTAAGACACCTTTACTGATATTATGGATATTGAATAGACATGAATGCACAGGAAAATTGTATAGAATAGATTTGTGTTACCTGGAACATCAAAGTAAGACTTGTAATAAATCACTGTCGGTAAACACGAAATTCCAGGCTAAAATTAAGCTAAAGTTTATGGACTGAGTTTTAAAGATACTGAGACACTTAAATTTAATGCCCTGATTGTCAAAAGAGACTGAGTAACTATCTTTGACAGTCAGGTTTACCTAAATCATCCTAAATTGGCCGGCAAAAAAAACGAACACAGTACTTTCTCAAAATGTAAACCTATGGAACCAGGTCAGAGCCTGGCAATTGCT